TGAAAGAAGAATTTTCCCTCAATTAGATACTATAAATAAGCGGTCTAGCCGTATAACGCCTTTTAGAGCCACCTACACCCAGTAGTGTAACCACGTTTGAGTGGTTCGGTCCTCAAAACGACGTTTTAATCACGGAGCTAACTCTGCGCTGGTCAATGCTGACATTGCTCCAAGCTGGTTGTTGGTCGCTAGCCTCTTAGATCCACGCCGACTCTGCTCATGTTGTTCTTGATCTCAGAGCAGATGAAAACCGAAGGTCGTAGTCTCGAAGCGCTGGTCAAGCTGTAGCGGGTGATATATTAAGGGAAAAATATCTTCCCGACGAAAAATAAAACGAGAGATTCGTGGTGTTAATCCTCAACTGATTTATACTGCTCTTAGAACAACAAAAATGAATCCAACCCATGTCAATCTCCTTAGTGACACTAGGCCTTGTTTAAACTTCTGGAGAGCTGGGTTCAAATCTTGGAATCAGGAAATCTGGTGGCATCTGACATAGATTAGAGCCACTCAATAAGGGTTCTCAGCCCAAAGTCTCCGAGCTCTCCAAAGCATTCTACATATATGCACTTTGGACGGAAACTCGTTTGGGGCCGAAGAGACCTAGAGATTCGGTGATTCCTTAATTTTCATTAATCCTAATAAAGGTTTTTAGTTCTGTATTTCTGCTTCCTTAATAAACTTTTTTCAAATTTGGAAGATTATGCACCTTCCCTGAAAGTAGAAACAAAGATTGCTCTGCCCTTAACTCCAAATTCCTTCACTTCACATCTCGCACCGCTACTCCGTACAGACGGGGTAAAATTCTGCCCCTTCATCCTTCCTTTCGGTTTTCTAACCCTGCCCACTTCTCAGGTCTGTCATAACTGTCATTGTGACAAATCTAATTTTTAAAGTACGTAGGCGAAAGGTCGTGCTTTATTCTCCTCATTAATTTCATTTCTGTGACTCCTCTCCTGGATCCACTTGGCCAGCAAAAAGCCAAACCAGATCACCTTCTTATTTTAACATTCCGAGCGATAGATAAAATTATTTCCCAATTTATTTTTGTCAATGAAATTATATTTGTGTACCTAAATTCTCAACAAAGAGACATGCTGTATTCCATACTTGGGCCGGTCACTGTCTTAGCAAAAAAATAAACCAGATCACTTGCCTATTATGATTGATCGTTTTTCGTATTCTTCACACTGGAAGTGAGTTCATTCTCTGTATTCATTTCTCAACTCGTTTACGCTAACGAAAAATATAATTGCTGTCTGCTTCTCTTTTCGCCAATGACATGTGTTTTTCTAATTTCCCAAGCAAGAGATAAAGCCAATTCCCCCTTGTTTTATAAATAATTCTGCAAAATAAAATAAACACTACGTTTTTACTTAGGTCACAACAGCATAATCACTTTAGATGATTCGATTTTAAAACACTCTGCAAAACCTTATGTTTTCTTCCGAGGATGCCTTAAGGCAATCTGAAAACCATTGGGATTTCTCATCTTCAGCATGGATACTCGTTTCCGACTATGCTTTAAAGCACTTTGCAAACCATTGGGATTTCTCATATTCAGGATGGTTTTCGTTTCCATGTATGCTTGTCTTTTCAGGCCTGTTTGTGTCCTTTTAACACCCACAGAATCAACCAGCTGTTTACCCTGCAACTACCCTTAGCTAAAATTAGTTACTGTCCGTACCTATGCTCCACTTGTGCTACATAAGGTTTTGAATTCAGAGTTGTTGTATACTGGTTACTGTTGTGGCCTTGTTAGGGCCAGAAATAAAGACACAAGAGAAGAATTAAGTTAAACAAATATATTTACAGAAACAGTAATACAAACATATACAAACGAGAGTGTTACAGCAAGAATATTCGCTCAGAGCTGACTGTTGGAAACTTCCTTCTCCAAGAGGCAGTTCCTGCTCCTATTTATAGCTCGGAGAGTCCATGCGTGTGTGGGTAAATTACCATAACATTTACCAATCACGGCTAGAGAGTGCAATCAGCGCTGCTATTTACCCCATAGCTGGAGGGATCCTGGCTTATATATTTCCGTAAGTGTGAAATAAAATTCAAAGATCTCGACCCGAATTGCAACTAGGCTCTCCAATACCTCGTTACTAGCTTTTTTTTATGTCCTTCGTTTTAAAAATAAGCACCCAGAGAGTAAAATGCATGGTCTCTTCGTATCTACTATGCTGAGTAAACCTTTCTCATTGTTAAATATATACTCCTACCAGGACCACAGACAGTTTTGTATGCAGAGTTGTCGTATCCTCGTTGCCAAACAAACGTAAAGAAACCACACACGCGCGCACACACACACACACACACACACAATCTTGTTTTTGTGCATGGCGTAAAAATGAAAATAAAAATCAAGGTAGCACTTTACTCGATTACTAAAAAAAACAAAAAAACAAAAGGGCGATTACTTCTGTAGTATTGGGAAAAATAAATTTGAAACGAACATAACATTTCATAAAGCTAGTGAAATAGGGCACACAGATATTGAATTCTTCTGACAGAACTACAGAACCATAAAACAGACGGATAATGTGATGTCAATTTTTAACGGGTATCATGTGAATACAGAATATCGGTTAAATAAATGGAACATCAGTTACAAGCAATAGCTGCTTAGGACCAATTCTGCAATAACTAATGTATTGCATTTTGTTCCATTTTATACTATTCAGTTTAAAAGTAACGAGCCAGAGAGAAAAAGGTGTGGTCTCTCCGTGCTTCACTTTTAGAATTTAGCAGAATCCATTAAAAACAGATCACTTGCAGAATAGCAACTCTAAGCAAGCTAGTCTCAAATAATATTACAGCGTCCGATCCTCACTAAGTGCCACATACTTCTGACAGTGTCCTAAACAAAGTTTTGTAAATAGTAGCATGATGGTTTTTCACTCAAGCCTTGTTTTTAGAAAGAATATGAGATTCAGCAGAGACGTTTCAACTTGAAGGCACATTACAAATCAGGGATTTCTCATTTTTAAAATGGATGCTCAGTTTCCAGTATGGCTGTCTGTTCAGGCCCATGTGTGTTTCTTCAACACCCACAGAGCCAATCTGCAGTTTATACTGCAACTATGCTGAGTAGCCCACGAGGGCTACATACGGTTTTGAATTCAGTGTTGTCCTCCTATACTGGTTGCCAATCAGGGCTAGTGAGTCCAGTTTGTCTTACTATTTAACCTGTAGCATGGAGAGAAGAGATTAATTCATACTTCTTTCAAATGAATGGAACAAACTTGATTGAATTTAGCTTGTAAATTTCTTGTTCTAACCATTACACCACCTAAACATCCAAATATGAAACTATTATTGGCCATTTTATCTAAGACTGTTTTTAAAAAACCTCTTCAGTTGATAATCCTTTACCAATAAAATCAAAAAGTAAAGAATCAAATTCAAGAATACGCTATTTTTTCCTTTCAGATGCATAGAGACACATCAACGTTTCAAAACAAGCATCCACCTTACAGTGTCATCAAATCTTCTTATACAAGTCAATAATATAACAATATTAAAAATTAATATTATTAACCAACTGACTGACGGTGATATAATTTTCGCAATATACTCACGTTTAATAAATATATAATGTAAATTTCAGCTTGTTTTTAACAAATATATATTTTAAGAAAACAAATTTATTGGCGCGAGATTTTATTAAATATATTTTTTACAAAAACTTATTTAATAGCGTTTGATTATATTAAATATACTTTGACGAAAACATATTTGATGGCGCGAGATTTTATTAAATATTTTTCAAGGTAAACCTATTTGAAGGCGTGGGATTTTTTTTATGCAACTAGAGAGAAGTTGGAATATATTTATTTCAACAGATATAAAAGATCGGCATGGACTGTAGGAAAATAGTTTCAAAAGAGAAACAAGATATGAAAGTTATTCAAAGACTGAATCACAACTTTAGAAATTGAAAAAAAATACTGCAACTATACTGAGTAGACCTTTTACGGTTCAAGCATATGCCTTACCAGGGCTGCGTTCGCTTCTGAATACACGGTTGTCATTCTCCTATAGCGATTGTCAAGCTAGAGAGTCCATTCTAAGTTTCTATTTAACCCATAACCGCGGGGAAAATATATGTATTTAGACATTTCTTAGGGTTATTTGTGCGGGAGTAAATGTAATTTTTCTGCTGATAAGACGGAGAAGTACTAGGAAGAGGGGAAAAGAGAAAAAAATATGTCTTGACACCAAAAAGAAGAGGTATTGGGCAAAGTTTCATAGGAAAATTAGCTCAGGGTGAGGTGTTGTAATGAAATGCCCCACACTCCCTATCGCCTATCTGCACTGACTATATCAGTATCTATATATAGTGAGCACAGGATATACTTTGCGACTTCCTTCGGGAATAAGTTGGAGATTCGTCTCAAGCTAAGCTAGTCAAACTCTCTGCCTTCGGGGAGAGAGGAACCCAGACGAGGCTATGCCGAAAGGCAGGGTCTCGTCTGGGGTGGTAGACAACTATCCGGCCCCGTGTATACGGTGAATTTTTGCCCAAGCCTACGGGCTCGTTTTTGATCCCGCATTAAAAACCGGCCTTGTGCCACATCCTGCCTCGCGGGGAGGTAAAGTCAATAAACTTCCTTCGGGAACGAATTGAAGATTCGTCTCCAGCTGTGCTGGTCAAACTCTCTGCCACCGGGCAGAGAGGATCCCTAGACGAGGCTATGTCGATGGGAAGAGTTTCTTCTCGTATAACACCTACCCAACCCTGTTTTATATGTGTAATTTTTGGCCAAGCCCACGGGTTTGGATACCCCACGTTAAATTCGGCCTTGTGCCACGTGTAACTGCGTGGGCGGTTGGTAGATATCTTTGCTTCGGGAATTACTAGCCTGTCCGCCGATTCCCTGTCTTTCAGTGGTGTATTCTCTTTTACAATAAAACTCTCTCCTTTCATCTACGACCGTGTTACTGTTCCTTCACTCGAGTACCACATGTGTCTATTTGTAACCTCTTAAAGGATGCAACACTATCTCAGTCTGTTCATATCTATCTATCTATCTATCTATCTATCTAATTTTATCTTTTCATCAACAGTGTGATTAGGAAAACAATTATTATTAAATGTTAGCTTAAGATGAAAGAATTCTATATCTATCAAACTACGGTTATCTATCTATCTCAGTCTCATCATATCTATCTATCTATCTATCTATCTATCTATCTATCTATCTATCTATCTATCTCTGTTCGCATCTATCTATCTATCTATCTATCTATCTATCTCTGTTCGCATCTATCTATCTATCTATCTATCTATCTATCTATCTATCTTAGTCTATTCATATCTATCTATCTATCTATCTATCTATCTATCTATCTATCTATCTATCTATCTCAGTCTCATCATATCTATCTATCTATCTATCTATCTATCTATCTATCTATCTATCTATCTATCTATCTGTGGCAATGGAATGCCCCACACTTCTTATGGCCTATGTGGACTGACTATATCAGTATCTATATATAGTGATCACAGGATATACCTGGCGACTTGCGTCGGGAATTACTAGCCTGCTATCCGAATCCCTTGTCTTTCACTGGTGTTTTCGCTTTTAGAATAAACCCCTCTTTCTTGTTTCAACCATTACATAACCTAAACCTCACAATATAAAACTATTATTAGCCATTTTATCTTATACTATTTTAAAAGTCTCTTCATTGATAATTCTTTACCAATAAAATCAAAAAGTAAAGAATCATTATTTACATTATTCGGACATCTTTCGGCAGTTGTACACTCCGGCATTCTTCAGGTAGCTGGAATGTTGAACTGAACACTTTATTTCAAGGACACATGGCACAGTGGATAAAGGCGTGAGTTAGATCCAGTAACAGAACTCAAACAGTGTGAGTTCAATACCTGGTTAAGGCAGTAGAGAATTTTCAGAGGGGAATTAACAGGAGATAACTGATAACTGACATCTATTAAACATGGCACGAGAAACTAGAACAGTCTAACCCAGCGAGCGAAATAAAGGGTTCAGTTCGACTTTCCAACTACCTGAAGAAAGCCGGAGCGTACAGCGGCCGAAATGTTGTAATACATATGGCGACAAAGATGAGGATAATAATTCGAATAATGTAAATAATGTACATAATACCTCATCTTAGAAATATAGACATATACTGAAGAAGGCAGGTGCGTACAACGGCCGAAACGTTGAAATAAATATGGCTAAAAAGATGAGGACAATAATTCGAATAATGTAAATAATGTACATAATACCTCATCTTAGAAATATAGACATATACTGAAGAAGGCAGGAGCGTACAACGGCCGAAACGTTGAAATAAATATGGCTAAAAAGATGAGGACAATAATTCGAATAATGTAAATAATGTACATAATACCTCATCTTAGAAATATAGACATATACTGAAGAAGGCAGGGCGTACAGCGAAACGTTGAAATAAATATGGCGAAAAAGATGAGGACAATAATTCGAATAATGTAAATAATGTACATAATACCTCATCTTAGAAATACAGACAGATAGTAAAGAGTCAATTCAAGAATATTTTTAGATGCATAGACATATATAGACATTTCAAAACAAGTGCCTGAAGAAGGCCGGAGTGTACAGCGGCCGAAATGTTGTAATATAAATATGGCGACAAAGATGAGGACAATAATTCGAATAATGTAAATAATGTACATAATACCTCATCTTAGAAATACAGACAGATAGTAAAGAGTCAATTCAAGAATATTTTTAGATGCATAGACATATATAGACATTTCAAAACAAGTGCCTAAAGAAGGCCGGAGTGTACAGCGGCCGAAATGTTGTAATATAAATATGGCGACAAAGATGAGGACAATAATTCGAATAATGTAAATAATGTACATAATACCTCATCTTAGAAATATAGACATATACTGAAGAAAGCAGGAGCGTACAACGGCCGAAACGTTGTAATAAATATGGCGACAAAGATGAGGATAATAATTCGAATAATGTAAATAATGTACATAATACCTCATCTTAGAAATACAGAGAGATAGTAAAGAATCAATTCAAGAATATTTTAGATGCATAGACACATATCGACATTTCAAAACAAGCGCTCGACTTAGAGTGTCATCAAATCTTATTATACAAGTCAATATTTTAACATTATTAAAAATTGATATTAATCAACTGACTGACGGTGATATAATCGCATGTTGCTGTTCCTTCATTCGAGTACCACCTTTATCTGTTTGTAACCTCGTGAAGGATACAACGGTAATGATCTTGTTCGGTCATCGAAACCGGTTCATCGAATTCTCTTTCCGAGTCACTACCGAACACCTTCACAGTAATCACAACTTTTTGTTTTGCTTTGTAATAAGTATATGTAAATAAAAGTAAAAATTTAGATTTATTACATGAAATATATTTGTTATTTTTGAGTGCGTAACAAACTCGCCATCGGACTTTGAAAATAAGAAAGGTATTGATTCAGAAATGTAATAAATCTAACATTTTGATTATTTGAAACCGGACAGTCCACTCGTAAATTTAAGCCGCATGTGCGAAAATTATATATAAAATGAATAAAAAACAATACAAATGTAATAAAAATAAAATAAATATAATAAAAAATAGACAGAGATTGTCGGTTAAATTTAATAAAACTTGTGCACACACACGCACACACACACACACACACACACACACACACACACACACACACACACACATATATATATATATATATATATATATATATATATAAAGAAAGAACAACAAAATATATTTTTCCGGTGGTCTTATTAATATTTTTGTTTTTGCAAAACAATCCTCAATGCAAATATACAGAGCATAAATATTATAAATTTACTTATTTAAAAAATATGGTTCCTTCGCTACACAGGAATTACCATGTTTCAAAAACAGTAACTAAACACAGACACGCACAAAACACACATACACACTTATATATATATATATATATATATATATATATATATATATATATATATATATATATGTATGTATATGTATATATATATATAAAAACATTAGGCAGCATATGATTTACATACAAAGAATAATCACACATAGAATTAATCAGAAGTATCAATGCGATTATTGACGACATCCATCGTTAGAAAACATAATATATGCATTAAAATCCTGTTCATCCATAGTGCGAGTTTTGATCCTTGAAGAAAAACTTGTTGTCTGTAGTTTTTCAGTTTATTTGATGTTAAAATGCTAGTACTTACGGACAGTCTTCCATCCATCATCAGGCATGTGTTTTTTTCCCTATAAAATCAAAAACTTGAGACGATATACCTGTATGTCGACCGAAAGATGTTTTTTGAATATCTGCTATTATTGACGGTTGTAAGATATCGGAACGTGCAAAGACGCAACGCTAAGTTTTTACAAATTTTTAAGTGAGAATTTTATTTAAATATTTCTTGTGATGTGTTAAATCCACGTATTCTATTTTTACAAGTGTATTCAGTTTTTATGTCATGAACTAAGTATATAGTTCAATAATATAGTGTAATGTCATAGTAGTAATTTTTTTATAGGAATTTTTTTAGCATTTTTTACTAGCATTTTAACATCAAATAAACTGAAAAACTACAGACAACAAGTTTTTCTTCAAGGATCAAAACTCGCATTATGGATGAACAGGATTTTAATGCATATATTATGTTTTCTAACGATGGATGTCGTCAATAATCGCATTGATACTTCTGATTAATTCTATGTGTGATTATTCTTTGTATATATATATATATATATATATATATATATATATATATATATATATGTGTGTGTGTGTGTATATATATATATATGTGTGTGTGTGTGTGTGTGTGTGTGTGGTAATAAAAGAAACAGAACAGAGTAACTCTAAATTAGGCTTTATTCTAAACTATAGAACAGTACAAACAAAACTATTTATATGAAGGCACAGTCCATATATATATATATATATATATATATATATATATATATATATATATATATAAATATATACTTAGGTGTGCTATATTTATGGGATAAAGTGCTCAATATCAGAGATAGAGCATATGTAAATATAAAAGTGAACATTGAAGTCAACACTTAGAGGCGACAGACTGTTTCATGATAGGCACAATGGTAACCTGACGATTGCGTCTAGCATGAAACACCCTGTTGCCTCCCAGTGTCAACTTCCTATGTTCACTTTTATACATACATACATACATACATATATATATATATATATATATATATATATATATATATATATATTAGTCATTTTACCCATGGAAGGCAATAGAGCCAGTAAGATGCAAGAATGTTAGAGAATATGAGACAAATATACTATTAAAGAGAAATGACAATAAAAGATAAAAATTTAAGACACTACATAAAGATTGACATTGCAGTTACATTTTTGAAGATCAAGGTTAACTGAAAAGGAATAAGACGCAATCGAGTTTCACAAGCGAGAAGTGCAATAGAAGAAACTGTTAGCATAGAACTTACGGTTATATCTAGCCATTTCAACTGTAAAAAGGTGAGACCTTACCGTCAATCACCCACTGCGCTCATATATATATATATATATATATATATATATATATAATTGAGCCGGGAATGCTTATATCTCGTATATAATGCGTTAAAAATTCCCTTTCTCCGCTGCGTGCGGTGAAAGCCTAAGGGTGAGAGACCCAGACTGGTGTCAAATCGGCGGTCGGGTTCCTATCCCGGCTTAAATCAATCTCATGTCAAGCTACACTGATGAGCTGTGAAACAGTCTGTCTGTAGATGACTACATATATATATATATATATATTTATTAAAGACATATTTTTATGTTTAACGTTGTTATTTTATAGATACAAGTATTTAAGCAAATGCTCTGTTTATGATAAACAGTATTAAATAACATTTACCGGCCTGAATGTCCGAGAAATTTTCATAGAAAATTTTCGTTCTTTGAACAAATTCGAACCTGTATCCTATACGGAACCGTCATATACGCTGACGTGCCTTTACCGTTTGAGCTACAAAAACCAATAGGTAGACAAGGTCGAATTTACTGCTTATAAACTCAATTGTCTACCGATTGGTTCTTTGTAGCTCAAACGGTAAAGGCACGTCAGCGTATATGACGGTTCCGTATAGGATACAGGTTCGAATCCTGTCAAAGAACGAAAATTTCTCGGACATTCAGGCCGGTAAATGTTATTTAATACTGTTTATCATAAACAGAGCATTTGCTTAAATACTTGTATCTATAAAATAACAACGTTAAACATAAAAATATGTCTTTAATAAATAAATTGTCGGACCTTGTCCATTTCTTAATATATATATATATATATATATATATATATATATATATATATTGGGGACTTGGAAATAAATGTGATTCTCACTGTTACAGCGCATTTATTGCCT